TTTTCACGTTTTCCATTATATCCGCATTGTTATCTAACAATTATGGTTATGAAATGTTCAAAGTTATTTGGGAGGTCCGAAGAAAATACAACATTATAAAAGTGAAAAACTTACTGATGTCGGATAGTATCCTGTGATATACATAGAAACTTCTTGTTTTTCATATTCACTCAAACATTGTGTAATTCAAAATAACCTAAAACAGATTCCTTGATTTCTCTGACTCGAATTGTACATTAAAAGCAAAAATAGATATTCCCGAAAAATGAACATTAGATATCAGACATTTTTATCATAGACGAAATAGTTGAAGCTATTCTGAAATTCTCTTCGTAACATTTATTCTTGTATATGTTTTTGAATACATTTTGTACAATCAATTTCATGGAACGGTGGCTGTGGGCATTTTCCGATTAATTTTTGAACAAAAGATACTAGAAACTGGCGGATGTCATCAACCGAAAGAAGAGAGCCAAAGACATCTTCCCACAAGCAAAACTAGTTAAAAAATCAATTTCCAAAGTGGTGTACTGAGGAGATCTTTGAAAAATCAACCTAGTTCTTCAAAACTCTAAACTCTAAGTGGCAATATATTGTTTTCTTGCATGAATGGATAGTCCAAAGTGACTTCTTGAAAAATGAAGACATTGGTTTTCAGTGGTGCGGATGTGATGTAGAATTTCTCTGAAACCCTAGAACAGGTGTCCGATGACTTAGGATAATTTGGGAAACGCGTTGATCACGCATAATCGTTCGAGGGGTTATAGAAAACATATGAGTAAAACAATGTTTTTTTAGTTTTATCGAGCCTTAGTTACCTTTGGTGGATAAAATTTATTATAGTCTACTATGAGTTGCACAATTTCTCTTATTATTAATTTATCTTTAGAGAAGAACATGTAGTTTTAGAAACATCAAACGTAAAAACCAATATTTACATTTGTATTTTAAAAAGTTGTAAATAATATCTTGTAAAAGGTAAATTAATAATAACACAATTGTGCAGTAAAATAAGATACTATGCGTACAGTATCGTACTTTACTTTCTTATTTTTCTACAGTTCGTTAAATATTTAAACATGTTTTAGGGCTAAAGAAAGCTCTGTTAGAGACTGAAGATCAGATGAAGAGTTAAATATTCATAACCATCTTTAATTACTTGCATATCTTCTTTAGAACGATATATTCCAACTAAATTTTTGGACATTAGTCACAGCTTGGAACGGATCGACAGAACAGTATTCTGGTTTGAAAGACAAACAATAGCGCTTTGTGTGCATGATTTCTGATTTTGAAATAAAGAATTATCATTGCAAACAACTCATAGCAGAATATGATAAATTTTATTCACCAAAGGAGATTAAGGCTTGATAAAACTAAAAATATATTGTTTTGCTCATACGTTTTCTATAACCCCTTCGAATAACCATAAGGCTTTGTGAAATGTTTTTATTTATTTAATATTATTTTAATATATAATACCCTAAGCACTGTACATTCTAAAGTTTTGCAGTAGTTCTGATGTATTTCAAGCGAGCAATTGTTCTAATATCAGATGAAACGACCCCGCGTACCCCACTTTTCGTAATAATCGGTTTTTACCAGTTTTTTGAATTATCTTTTAGAAACAAACATTGCCATCTGAATAAAAATAAATTCTTTTGTGCAGCAGCAAATAAATGACTGTTCTAGGGTTTCAGAGAAATTCTACATCACATCCGCGCCACTGCAAGCCAAGGTCCCGCTGGACTCGCTTTTTTGAGAGGACACTTTGGTGTATCCATGAATCGGTTCATAGTAATTAGATACAGTAACTCGATTAGTCATTAAGAAATTATGAATGTTTTAATTTGCTACATGTATCTGATTGATCGTTTTGATTATGCGCTAAAAGTTGATCAGGGTAGCCCGAAGACTATGTTACACAAGCTAATTCCTCCATATTGAGCAAAATGTCCATCTGTAGCATTTCTGTGAGTCAAGACACTTAATTATGTAAAAACAAATAAGTATAGTCCATCGACATATTGCAAGCACAAAGGCACGTTTGTTAAGACATCTAATAACATCCTGTTGATGGCTACAAATAGATGACTTTGTTAATTCTTAGCATCCGATTCTATACGACACGCTTTTTCTTACATTACAGCAGTAGATGATGTAACACATGTTTGGTATAAACTATCTACAGATATTTAAATAACTGAACAATCTGTATCTTGTCCAACTAGTTCAGTAAGGGCACTACATAGCTGAGTGAGGATACTTATGAGAAATTTGCCTGACCATTACCATAACAATAAACCAAAAATTAAAGAAGAGAAAGAAAAAGAAGAAAGTTCAGTAATTAATTTGAGGAGCAGAGAGAGATATGAGGTACAACTATGTTTTCTTATTGTTTAATAATATAACCGAGAGATATACGTTTCTGTATAAATCTGGTTCAAATGATTTTCTCAGCAATAGCTTGTCAATGTCAGGATCAAATCGCGTGAGATAATCAAAAGGGTTTTGTCTAACAAGATCGTAAGAGGGACAATATGAAGAGTGATGTTCGACTGTTTCTAGTTGTTGACACTTGAACAAGGAATCTTTTTGATTTTTCATAACATCTCTCTTAATCAAAGCATGTTCTAATACTGAAAAATCAATTCGTAGCACATCTTTCAGTCGCATGATTGCCTTCAAACATTTATGTTGATGTTAAATGCATGAAGGGATTGTCGCATCTTTGAATTGTTGGGTGGGGTCCATTAGTTTACTTTCTTTTATTTGTCAAATGTGGAAAGAAAAAGAAAATAGATTATGACAAAAGTGACTTTTTAAAAAGTGTCTTGCAACGTCAGTCATTTATGTAAAAACAAAAAATTCACCCAGAAAGAAAAAGATACTATTTCAATGTACTGAGTAATAGCTATTTGATAGAAGTTATTGTAAGCTGTGGATAAAGTGAGAAAGATTGCTACTCAAGAGAATAATCTCAGGTATCTAATTTTATTCTTTTATTGTTCGAACTGGAAATGTTTAAGCCAATATACAGGGTGGCCCATAAGTCCTGATACGATTTGTATAATAATTTTTCTAAAGTAAAACACATGTTTGTAAATTTCTCTCTATGATCAAACCAGTAATAATGGGCTCTAAAACAAATAATGCACGTTTCGATGATTTAGAAAACTTATATTCATCTGAAGTATCCTCATCAATTGCACAATAATCTGCACATTTAATACTGCCAGTAACTGTATCTTCATTCAACACGAAATTATTTTCAAGAAGTTCAGGACCATTTGCTGGTAATTTATGTTGATGATGGTATTCATTTCCATGCGGTAAATAAATTTGAGAAACTGTGGATAATCGACGATTAACAACAACAGCTGCTTGACTAAATCGACGATGTTCCGATGGGAATTTATCTGGTGTATCATCATCTTCGGTAAATATCAATTCCTTAAATTGTAATTGTTGTGTTTCTAGACCATTTGGAGGTACTTTTTTTTGTGGTAAATATTCAGATCCATGTGGTAAATATATTTGAGATACTGTCGATAATCGACGTTGAGAAACTGTACTTAAACGACGATTTTGTGAGTGTTGTGCTTGTTGTACAAAATCCGGCGTTGATAGCCGTCTTTCAGACACATTAAATGCCACGTTTGTTAATGGCTTCTGTTTTTTATGATAATGTTGGTGAGCCATTTCACTTACTGCGAACTATTTGTATTTGTCAAACATATTAATTAAAATGACGATGATGATAACTATTTGCTTAGCAGCAATGTTAATTGTAGACTGTTCTTCATGAAAATTTAGCTTCTGGCATGTCGACAAGAAAAGAGTATTATTTTGTTGAAAGATAATTTCTAACTTAAAGTAATAAAATAATTTAGTCAACCTCCCTCTCTTACATGAAATATTGATAAGAATTTTATGAATCAATTTTTTTAACAATCATCATCATTTATAAAAACGGCAGAACATTTCGTCTTTTTATAACAGGCTATAAATTTTGTTTTTTTCTACTTCATCGCACTTTGATTTTGCCATACCCTTTTTTTATTTTTTGCGGTTCAAAGATTTCTGCTTGTCTCAGTATTAAAATCATATAAGTTATCCATTGGTTGATAAGAAAAATTTCAAAAGTTATAGTTAGCTGGATCTTTTGTCGACAAGTAATAACCTCTCCGCAAAAATTATTATTTTTGAGAAATATTGATGATTCAATTCGTTTATGGTTGAATTCGACCTGATCTTCTACTGCTGTTTAATCGTTAGATATTTTCAATTGTTAAAGTTTTACCGATCAAGATATTCATACGATTTGATGATCAGGCATGATGATGATTATAAACAAACAGTAATTCGTAAAGTCTTTTTTTAAATCTTCGTTTATACATCCAATCTGAAAACTCATGATTTTGATCATTGGAAGAAAATTCTTTTTTCTCTGTGAACTCATATCATTGAATTTTCTAGTATGACAGAAGCCTTACTTTGTACTTCTTGTCCCTGTGTGTCCCTGTTTGTCAACGTTTCGTTTTACTCTTTTTTTTTGACTATTCTAAAACAGATTTATTTTCTATTGACAAATAGACTGTTAAAATGGTATATGAATGATATAAAATGATATATAAACGTTAATGATAAAATGATATATTACTTGTCCAGATAAAGGAAGAGGCGTAGTTATATTAGATAGAGATGAATATGTGAAGAAAATGAATGAATGGTAGAATAACGCATATACATTTGAATTATTAGTCTGTGACCAACAATAAAAAAAGAAGACAGATTGGCAACAGCATTATGACGAATGAACCAAAGAGGTTTCATATTACCTGGCCTCAGATTCATCCTCCTTTTTTGCATTGTCCTCTTTTCAAGTCGATTTTCCTTCCTTTCCTCTCTTTTCTAAGAATTTTAGAGCAAACCAACAAAATCTAAAAAATATGAATACGAACTACTCTGAAAGAACATACTTAAAAAGTAGAAGAATAAAATTTCTACGTTTATAACAAGCACTTAGTTTTGCGTGAAGAACACTCATTGCTCGACGTTTGCTTCGATTTGACAAAAGATTTGCTGCTGGTCACCGAGAAAGAAATACCTAACGGTAAATAAGAACAGTTATCAGGCGCATTTTCTGTTTTCTACAAATTCGAGTGTTGTGTTACTGAAAACGATGCAAAGGAACTGAAATTGTTAAAGAAACTGCATGGAAAGTGACCAGGGTGCCCAAATCCAGTTGTTCGAAATCAGGAGTTTTTCGTAAAAAATCAGGAATTGATCAGGAGATTTTTTCTAAAAAATCAGGCGGAAAATCAGGAGATTTTTTTCGAAATCAGAAGAAAAACAGCAGAGTATCAGGCAATTTTTTCCTTAGACAAGCAAAACAAAAAAAATCGAAAAAACATTTTTTGAAATATTTTTCGATGAAATAATATTATTATTTGTTACAGACTGCAGTATAGTACGGATTGTGGAAAGAGATTTTGATCCTATGGGCAGGGACGCAAATAACGGAAGGGTGTGAAAGGGTGCACATCTCCCGAATAATTGAAAAATCTGTTGTTATTTTATCCATCATTCCTCGCACAAAAACATTTTTTTATCAATTTCACACTACCTCAAAGAGAAATTTTGTTTCAGCCCCCCCGCGCCGACTGTTCTGCTTCTATTTGCGGCCCTGCCTAGTATGGGTTTGGAAGTTCACTAATCTCATCTTCTTGTGGCGAGAACATTCGATAAACAAACAGCGAACCCTTTCAATGTACAATTAGTTAGACTGTTGTTCAACAACAACTAGATTTTAGTACTCATTTGTTTCTCTTTTATTATTTCAGATTTGGTTCATACAGTTTGAGAGAAAACGTCCTTTTTTCAGCGAAACAGAAATCTGATACACACGCTCGATGTGTGTAAGTCAAGTTCTGTTCTGAAATGTGTCAGGGTGATTTTCAGGCTGAAAAATTCATTCCTCGTTTTTTTACTTCACATCCTCTTTAAAAAGAATTTCTAATCCTCTTGCACGCCTCTTTTTCCAGGAAATTGCAATCCGAAGCCAGCATATCACTTCAAGAATATAACAAATATAGACCTTGAGACTCTCGATCAACTCGTATCTCTGGTTTACAAAAGATACACAAAGTCAACTGTCCTCTTCATCCTATCATCTCAGGCACTGGTGGGTATAATTTCAGCATTGGTAAATTACTGACAACTAGAATTGACCATTTAAGACAGAGCCCACGTGTTAGTAAAGATTCATTTGTGTTTGTAGATATGTTAAAAAGTTACCAACTAATATGGCTCAACACAAGGTGACTTCATTTAATGTATCAGGTGTATTTACTGAAGTACCACTCGACTATACTATAAATCTCGTATTAGACAAACTATATGGAAAAGAACATAAATGTAATTCCAGTAAACCAAGTAAAACATGTGAAGATTGGTGTAATAAGTGTCAAGATAGGTTTGATATGCAATGATACCCAGATACTCATTTTCTGTTTAATGGGAATATTTATCGGCAACATAATTGTGTGACTAGGGGCTCACCCCTCGCTCCAGTACTGGCAAATGTATTTATGACATATCTGGAAGGTACATAACATAAAAAATTGAAAAATGCTGGTGTTGAATTATATAAAAGATATGTTGATGATACTTTTGTACTATTAAGAAATGATACTGATATCGATGTTATCAAGAGTATTCTAAACAGCGTCGACAAGGACATTCAGTTTGCATCGGATTATTAACTAAATGGACATCATTCGTACCTAGACAATATAAAGTCATATCAACTCATGGATGATGAATTTGAATCTATAAAAAAGATATTAATCGTAATGGATATCCAGCAACGTTTATTGACGGTCAAATTAGAAATACTCTTGATCATTTGTATGGAAAGTAAAACGTTAAAATACATTCATCTAAATGATGACAATCCAAAAATACGTGTGAAACAAGATGAATTCATTATGATGGATATCATAATTATAGGATCATTAACTAAAATTTTTAGTACAAAATTGAGAGCATTAGCAACAAAAATTAGACCCAATGCTCAAATGTTAACCATAGGTCGATCTCCAGCACCTGTTAGACAATTATTTTTAAAATAAGGATAAAATATCTAAAGAAATTCAATCGAAAATTATATGTGAAGAAAAATGCGTTGACTGTGATGCTACGTATGTTGGAAAAACATTAAGGCAAGTTATAAGGAGGAATTCAAAGAACATGATGATCCTGACCTTCAGCCAGCCATGCCTAAAGACAAAAACTACAACACATACTTCAATGAAAACAACTTTACAAGGTTTGAGACAATTACAGAAACAAAGAAAGAAATCGGATAGATATGGGTATTCAGACATTAGTGAGAGGGAAGAGCTGATTAATCTGACGTTAGATAAAAGTTGCAATGTGACATCTGCACTTAAAAAATATGAACAAGAAACTAATCACCACATAGCTTGGCGAAAGCGGGAAATTATATCCAAAGACAGTGGACACATACTATATCTATTAGTGAGAAAATTAATGACTATAATAGCAAGAAAATTTGTTCTAAATGCCATTGTGAGATCTATTCTATTAGTAATATCTCCGAAAGGATCTTAAACATCAAATAGAAAAGAACAGTCAAACGGAAAATAGAGGAATAATATTACAGAAAGAAACAGTCACCATTTATACTATAGCATTTTATTAGTCTTTTTCCAGTCCACTAATACCCATGTCGCCAAAACCAAAAATTTTTTTGCGTGAATCAAATGAATAACGCAAAAAAGAATGCAAAAATATAAGTGGCCTAACGCAAAAAATGGTTACAAATCTGAAATTCTGCAAAATTCTGTATATTTTTCTAGAACAATATATTTACGAAGTTTTGTATTAGTTCGACTAATACAAAATTTTGTAAATATTTGATTTTAATCAAGAATTTTGTAAATATTTTGTTCTAAAAACATATACAGAATTTTGCACAATTTGGCATTTGTAACCATTTTTCGCGTTACGTCACTTATATTTTTGCATTTTTTTTGTGTGGCTATGCAAATAAACTTTTGCAGTTTCTACATGGATAAACTCTCAACCATTGACTTGTTATCGTTTTTACGTTCTTTCATAAATCTGATGTCTTAAAAAAAATATTTTTATCTGTGTTTAATTTTATATATTTTTCTACCCTAGTAAAGTCTTGAAAATGAGATTATATAGCTATAAATGTCGACAAAAGTATTTTTAAATAAGACCATGGCCAAATTAAACTTATTAGATGCTGTTAAACTATTACTATGTATAAATGCCATATTCCAAATAGAATGGTCATAACCTAATCAAGAACACACGTAGGTGATCTATTGATAATCTCATTATTTGATCATAAAAATCATCATCTATTGATACGTAGGAAGATACATCACTTTTATTAACATTATCGTTTTCATCTTCAGTCAGAATGTCTTTGGATTTTGTTCATTGAAGCGGACAGAAATTGAAAAAAATAGTCTAATTTGTTTTGACATGTTTTTGGCAACTATCTGTCACATTAGTTATATCAGACTGTAATCAAATGAAATAAAATAAAATAAACAATGTTCATTTGAGATTAAATAACATACCTGAAACGTTTGATCGATGATTTTGGCCATGGTTATCCTCTTTATTCTTTATGAAAGATC